AGAAGAGGCACTCTGACTGAACTACAGGAAGTGAACACAGAGGAGAGGAGAGGAGAGGGGAGAGAGGCTGAAACATGTCAATAGTTTAATATTTACAACACATAGAGACTCTATTTTCTCCCCATCATTGGTAACACTTGTTGGATTTATATTCTATTGTTTTCTGTTTGTTGTAATATAAACGGTTAGCCCTCAACAAGAAGCCGCAGCGTGATCATCAGAGATAATGTGCAGGTGAGGAAATCAAACTCACCTGAGACTTTATGAACAACGTCAAACGAGGAGAAGTGGCAGAAGGCGGCTGCAGCCAGAACACTGTAGCTGAAGTCCAACGCGTTGATGTCCAGCATGCACAGGTCCAGCAGCTGCAACACAGACGGCAGCAGTCAGTCGGATTGTCTCAACGCGAGGATGGTGGTGTGTGTGTGTGTGTGTGTGTGAAGCTACCTGTGTGATCTGGATGTACGTTTCCTGGGAGAACTGCGGCACCAGGAAGTTCTCTTCGTCCGTCTGAGCTTCGACCTGAACGTACAGCTTCAGCCAGGAGATCGGCGTCTCGGGACAGAGACTCCAGTTCAAGGCCTGCAGGACGAGGACACCACGGGTCAACACAGAGGGAGGGGCGGTGTACCAGCCCGGCTCTAAAGGAGTACAACAGTACCTCTTCCAATAGAACACCATAAGGGTACTTATGAGAGTATCTTACTATTATATATAAATAACACATCTTTCTAGAAGAAGCCGTTTACTTTTTACACACTTTTCATCTGTTTCATAAGATGATTCACAACACTAAACTGCTTTCTGGCACGTCTCCCTCAGTAGAACTGGAGCTGCAGTAAACGTCCCGTACAGAACTTAAACATGACGGCGGCGTTCATTAAGCGCACCTTCAGGATGTGAAGCTCTGTGCGCTGGATGTCCCAGATATCACAGGCTCCATCTGTGACGTAGGCGAAGTCGGTGATTTTAGGAGGGTAGATCTCCTGAAGAGAAGAAGAAGAAGAAGAAAAAGTGTTTAACAGAAGAAGAAGAACTTGTGGTGCGATTCGAATGTAAGATTTCATTTATTTTACTGTCGACATCAAGTAATGAATTCTGTTCTGTATTTATTTGTGCATCAACATGCATGAAGCACAAATAAAAACATTCAGAACCGTTGGCGTATGCGTTTAGACGCTGATGATGAGGAGGAGGGACTCACCTCTATCTTGGCGGCGATAAAGAGCGCCGAGATCCCGATGAGCTGCAGGTAGTCCTTGTTGACGTTCTCCTGAGTCAGCATGAAGCGGTCGAAGAAGTCTTGAGCGAGGTAGGCCGTCTGCCGGTGGAGCGAGTACACCTCGCACACCTGCAGCCAGGACACACAGACGCCGTTAACAGCTGCAGCGATACTTCAATAAGCGTTTATGATCATCTGATCATCAATAAGAAGAACGTAGAAGAGGAAGTCAGCACTCGCCTCCAGCAGCCAGTCCAGCAGGATGGCCCTCATCTTGGGCTGCAGCTTGGGGTGTCTCTGCAGGTAGCTCTTGTCGTGGACATACTTCAGCTCCTTGTTCAGCATCTTGATCCACACGTCGTCTGAGCTCGCCCAGCTGAGGAGGAAGAGGCGGGGTTTAACTCAATGACAGGTCGGCCATCATTGTTTTAGCTTCTTCAACACGCAGACGAGGAAAGAGTTGAGGCTGCAGCTCATTTAAACAGATGTTCCTTCTATGTGAAATAAATATCACCGATACTATAGAAACACCTTTAGTATTAGATTCAGTACGTCTCAAAATAAACTGCATCCAGTTGCACTTTGCAGACCTTTTCTGACCCACAATCCTTTGCAGATATACAAGCAAGAGGTTCAAAGTTTGAGGAAGTAGCGTCTCTTAACTGAACGCAACACTACGTACTTTATAAAGGCAATATGATGCGACATCTACTAAGAGTTAACATAAATCAAATGAGGTTTGGAACGCAGCTTCAGTAAATCGATGTTAAACATGTTTGTGTAACTTTAAAAGATCAATTCACAAAGTGTGAACGAGGACGTTAGAGTCTGAAAGCAGAGTCGGGCGGAGAAACAGATCAGTGTTGAGTGACACACACACACACACACACACACACACACACACACACACACCTGAGGCGGGGGATGGGGGAGGACTGGATGAAGAGGTTCTTGAAGGTGTACTGCTTGAAGCTGGACGGATCTGCAGGTTCCAGCTCTTTGTGAGGAGTTTCTATGAGGACGCACGGACTCGCTCCGTCCTCCAACCAACACGTCTAGAAAACACACAAACATTCAGCCGGTGAGTCTCAGGACGACCTCGTCTCCTTCTACAACAAACCCACCAGCTCTGATTCACTCTGGATGCATCTAGAGTGAGATCATTAGACTGTCAAACACAAAGCACCAATAACGCTCCCACAGAACTCTACTCACCATCATCAAACTGACCAGTGACTGTAAATGTCTATTTTTCTCTTATTGTTGCAACTTTATGTTATTAAATGACTTATTGCTAGTTAATACCAAGCCGACCGGTGACGCCTTGTGGTGAAAACGAGGTACTGCACCATGACCTCATCAAGATTAATCTGATATCATAAACTAATATAATCACTAGTTTGAGCTGTTGCAGTAAACACACAGATAGTGTGTAGAAGACCAAAGAGGGGAAAAACTTAAATAAATGAATTAAAATGTAAAGAAACCAGATATTTTATACATGAAACAAAATGGACGCTCAACAAAGAAGAGAGGAAACAAACTAGGAACTCATGAAACTAGTTTTAAACAACAGGGCAGAATGCAGAGAGAGGGAGGGGCACAACACACTGATAACACTGCTCTTATCTCTCACACACACACACACACACACCTGTATTTCATAGCTCTGTTTCTTGGCAGCAGGTTGTAGTTTCTTCTTTGAAGGCTGGAGGATAAATTAATGAACAGGTGAGTTGTTGTCGCTGCTAAACTCTTAATTTACAGGATTATTAAAATGAAAACACAGAATCAGAAGCAGCTGTTTATGAACACAAACCTCTGCTTTCCTCCTCTTCAGCGGCGCTCGGACCGTCGGCTCGAGTGTGTTCGAGTCTCTGGTTTGCAAAGTGATGCGACCGCTGAAATAAAGAATAAAGATTAAATAAAAAGACGTCGGCTTCACGCTGTGAACCCAGACCGGAGATCAGAGGAGCGCGTCTTCATCACTTCAAACACGTTCTAAATAAAGTTGTTACAAGTGTCATGAAGTCAGAGACGCTCCAACGTGAGTATTGTAAAACACTGAAGTTTAGTGTGACTGGACATCAACCTGAGGCACAAACTTCTTATTATTATTGATATCAGAAAATAATGCGACACATGTTTAAGTCCTGTGAGGGGCCCTCACCGGCCCCCACACCAGCAGTCTGAGAACAAACGGCAGCAGCTGCTCACCTGCGTCTGAACATGGCGTCGAGTGGGTTTACGGCTCCGCTGCAAAACAAACAGAACACAGGTGAGACACACGCAGCTGATATATGAATATAGGATTCATCCACGGCTCCTAGAACCACGTCAGAACCTCATGGAGGGCCCCGAGGAGGCCCCCAACAAAGCTACCAGTACACATGTTAGAGTCCCTGGTGTGAGGTTAAATAAGACCAGGACCCAGTATAAACCACCACAGTGATGTTATTAAGAGCCCAGCTGGCTCCTGGAGAGCACAGGGGCCCCAGCATGCACCAGGAGCCTCTCATGGAGCCCTGGTGAGCAGAGTTAGCTCATAGCTCGAGTCCTCCAGTGAAGAGCTCACAGACCTCCACACAAGCAACCAGCAGCTGCACCGTGATGATGATTAACATGATGTCATCATGACGGAGTGACACAAGATGTAATAATAATAATAATAATAATAATAAAAGAGTAGAGCCCAGCCAGGCTGTGTGAGCTAGTGTGCTGACTAGAGGAACAGAAAGAGGGGGGCTGTTTGTTCCCTCGATTTCAAACAAAAAAAACTCACAAATTCTGCTTTTTATCCGAAATTCATCACCCCGAGGTGTGAAGCAAACGTCTCGAGGCGAAATCCGGGTAGTTTTTATGAAGAACAACGCAGAAATATGGACTTTATTTGAGGGATTGAAAGTCAAAGACGCGCCAATTTCCGAAGCTCAGAAGCGGGAGGATTCGAGCCCGAAGCCCTCGTCCAGCTCCGGGAGGGAAACGACCAGAAACGACCCGAGAAGAACCGCGTTGACTTTAAACTGAGCTCCGCCGGTAGATTACGCTCATCGGAACCACCGATCGGAACCACTATCCGTATAAAAAGGTCCAAAAAGCGCCATTAAAAGTCGGGCAAAGAGAGACCACCGCGAGGCGGAGAGAGGGGGAGCTGCAGGAATCACATACACTTTACACACAAACTCCACTAAAACACGCAAATACTCACTAATGACACACCCAGAACAACACGGACGAGTCTACCGAGGAACAGCAGACTGTAGTTAAGGAGGGAAACCATTGTATTACGGTTAAGATACACGTTAGAGCTACGATGAGGCGGCAGAGCCTCGCTTTCACAGATTTAAATCCAAACTACGTTGAGATAAACGCGTATTTAAACTGTAATCGTGCGATGCGGCCCTTAAAGAGACAATACCAGTAATAACATGTTAATAAACTGTGTGTTTGGGTATAACCGCGACGGCTCGGTGGTCTTACCTCCTCGGTGATCGATGGTTGAATGAATGGATGAATGCATAAATCAGCTGTGGCGCCGGCGCCAATCCTTCTTATATCCGCATAGGTCTGTCTCGCGGCCCCACTGCGCATGCGCGTTCCCGGTTTCGCAGAACCGCGCTAAATGTTCAAATCTCGGCGGAATTTTTTTGCCGCAAACGTGCAACAAGCGAAGCGTTTAAAATGTGATTATTTATTATCCGATAATAATGAATCGGACCCATTATGACGTGATTAACGGGGTTATTTGCCGCGTTTCACCGTAGCTTACGTTCATAATACGTTCCGCTTAACGGGAGTTATTTAACTTCTCTTTTTTACGCGGCATCGGAACTGCTTCCGCATAGCGAGTCCCGCCTTAAAGGGAGGAGCCTCCGTGACGTTGAGCCAATGGGAGAGCGAGATGCGACTGGCGCGTGCTTCCTCCGCAGAATGTAAACAGAAAGAGCACGTGGAGCTGCTGTCAGACAGCCGGTCGAGAAATACTGCTGCTGACACGTGGCTTTATTTATATTATTATATATTAATATCCGATACTTGGAGGGGCCCACTTGTTTGTTATTATTATTATGCATTTTGTATCATTATTATTATTTTATTATAATTATTTTATTATAATTTTTATCATGCATTTTTGTATTATTAATATCATTTTATTATTAAAAGAAAATATTATAATTTTATTTTTGTATTACTATTACCATTCATACACAATCACCCTTAGTAACAATAACTGGTTTGCCATTTTATAATTACAATAATATTGTCATCTTTTTACTTTTAATTTATTAATTTTGTGTTTTTTGGTTTTGCTTTTTCTGTACTCCTGTTTTTATGTATTACATGTCACTATACCACTGGTTTGTGTCCTGCCCTTTGCCCCAATAAAATAATAATAAAAACAGATAATTGTATATATATATATATATATATATATATATATATATATATATATATATATACTATGTAAGGCCCAGTGTTCCAACCTGTTCCTATTTAAATATGCACACATTTTAATGACAAGCTTCCAGTTTGTTAAACCAACGACTGTGTCTGTGTTCATACCCATCATACTAAATATAATTCTGTTTCTACAACCTGAAAGCATGAAAGACCATAAAGAAATATGAAGTATAGTGACTGTGTGGAGCTTCTGAACAGTAGAGTACATTTACTGCTTCATTTTCAGATAATGAAGCAGATGAGCAACTTATAAACTAATGATCGGCTCCGTCTCAACCAGCTACGATATTAAAATGCTGTTGATGCATCAGAAATAATAATCCAACAATGTCTAGTACTCTACTACTTTTTATTCAGATACATGTACACATACATGTATTGTACATGTACAATACATGTATGTGACATAGGCTTACTTAAGTTTTCTTTAATTACATTTTAAATGCAGGACTTTTGCTAAAGAGAAAGATCTCAGTACATAATATTGAATACGACTGTACAGTGGTATAAAGACATGATACTGTGTTCTTTGTGTTGGATGTACAGTCTAGTGTTGGATTAGAATTGAAGTATTTGAATAGTGAGAAAGGTGACACTAAATATTTAATATGACGACTTAAAAACTAAGTCATTTTGTGTGTTTTTTTCCTCGTTCCTCTCTCCTCGCATGGTTTCCTCCATGCATCCCTGGTGGGAGGGACTAAGACACAAGGAAAGGACCCAAGTGAGGGAAACGGGGGCCAAATCCCAATGTCCCCCCTTACGGACTCACGGACTTTGAGGCGCACTCCCGCGAAGTCCGTGAGGGTTTAGGGATGTCCCACTGTCACATCATCGAGTGTTTGAGGCTCTGGCAGACATTTTGAGCCCTTTATGAACCCTTTCTGTAAGTCAGCATGGTATGCTGACTTAACCTAAGGGAATTACCCACAAATCATTGCAATGTGACATTAAACACGGGGTAACCAGTGGACGCATGGAGACGTAAAAAAAAAGGTAAACAAAGAGGACGGCTCACGTGTGTTCAGCCTGTCATTAAATGTACTCAGAAACATTAAGGGTTAAAGATGGAACAACAAATAAACATGAAATCAGAAGATATTTATTTATTTATTCATCAAATGTTTGATTTTGTCATTGAAGCTGTTTTGACAAAACGAGTAAATAGATGATATGAAGTTACCTCTCATCTAGTGAGGAAAGAGCCTGAAGACGTTCACATCAGGGAGTACAAAGTATACAATAAATACACACATTATACATCATATTTATTGTTGTTTTCATGGTAACATTCATATTCACACCATCTCAAGCCCTCACAGTCTCTCACACTCACCCACTCACCAGGTGACGTCAGTAGGTCCTTGAGGGTTCAGAGTTTGAGGGTTTAGGGGGGGACATTGGGATTTGGCCGGGGATGCAATTAAGAGACTTGAGATGTACCCTTGGAGGAGCAGCGCTCGCCTGTAGAGACTCGTCCGGACGGGAACGAGCAGCTTGGGGCAATCGATTCGATTCTGCCCCAAGCTGAATCTATTTGAGGATGCTGATTGGCTAAATTGTATGTGACACATTTATATCTTTAATCAGCAATTGGCTAAACTGCTTCATAGCCCCGCCTCTTCTGGGCAGTTTCTCCATCGCCCCAGAGCTGCTGAGACGTGCACACGCGGAGAGGACGTGCAGGAAAAGCATATATTTACCGCAGATATCATATTTTACACATATTACTGGGTGATTCCATATTTCAAAAACAAATATTTACAATTTGTATAGTTTATTATTAATTTTATTTGTTGTGGCTCAAGGGGGGGCGGCGCCCTAGTGCCCTCTATTGACCAGCCGCCACTGTAAGTAGCCTTTAAAATGAGTTAAAATGTCTTTGAACAAACAGACAGAGACGAGCTGGGTATGAAAACATTTATTATTATTATTATTATTATAAGCTAATGAGAGATCACATGTATTAACTATAACAGTTTAAAACAGATGACCCCACTTATAATTACTCTTACATCAGAACAGAGTGAAGTGATCTTCCGTACATCCAAAAACTACAAAGATGGAGACCAGTTATGTTGATAAATAAAGAGTTAACCCTATAATTCCTACACCTTTTTTTTGGCAAAGTGCTGTATTATTCCAGTACAATACAACAACAACAACAACAACAAAATAAAAGCATCTAACACTTGGTGAAAAATAATACAAAATAAAATGCCACAAAATAGTCTTGACACTTTTTTTTCTTCTTTTTTCTTAAAACAAACGAGAAAAGAGGTTTTGCTACATCATTCTGTCTGGTTTCTTTTGTTGAGTCATCGTATAAAATAAAGTAAAGACGGTTGGCGGGCGGCTCCGAGTGGTGCATAGCTGGTTTCTGATGTCCGTCCACTCAGGACAAACAAAACGCGAGATAAAGGAGTTCAAGTTCTTCATTGATGCATTGTCTTTACATTTCAACCTGGAAGGCACGAGATCCACACATTTCAAGGCATTGAACAAAAAACAAACATTACAAATCCCTGTTAGTTTGATGATGGAGAGATGAACCCAAGAAATAAAGGAGGAGACGGATCATCACGTCTGATCCCTTCTTGTCTTTTTAAAATAAACACATTGTCCGTGATTGCAAAGCTCGACAGCAGAGAGAGAAAGACATTCGAGAAATAAGAGAAAAGCTGAAAAACATTATTATTTACAGCTTAACAAACGATTTTAATATTAACGCTGACGTGACTATTAAATCTTTCCTGTTTGTGCTTCTACTGCAGAACACTTTAAAACATCTACAACATGTACTGCTGATGAGTTTAATGTTGCTCCGATGAGTTCAAAACTTGAGAAAGTCAAAAACTTTCACCTGTTTTAAAATGATTCAATAACATTATGAAGCAGATGTGTCGCACATCTTCAGAAAATAACAAAGTTATTACAAAATGATGTATGGAGGTCAATTTCTGCCAAGAAAATTAAATGAAATGATAAAAAGTCAGGAATAAGAAGAAGAAATAGTCAAAGTAATCGTAATTATGAGATGGAAAAGTCAAAAAAAAGACTGTTTTTACTCAAAATGTGGTGCAGTGATTCATATTTCAATCGTGAGTTACAAAGTCAAATTGAATGAGACGACGCAACGATGAGATAAATGATAATAATGATAATTCATAATGATGATTTAGTTTCTCAACATTCAGACTTTTTAAAGTCATCATTTTGACTTTCCATCTCGTACTTTTGACTCGACGTATCTGCTTTTATTTCTCTCATTCCCAACATTCTGTCTGTTGTTTATTATTCTATTGTTTATTCTCTGCTGCGGTGGTGATTCGCCCCGGCTCTACTTTCCCAACATGAAACATGATTCTATATTTCAGAGCAACGAGGCCAACAACCGACTAAACACGTAAAAGTTAAACAACCAAAAAGACATAAATCAGTATTAAAAACTAGTGAAAAGATTAAAAGCTACTTTTTTGGTTTAAATGTGTTTTTTTTTTTAACAGTTTAGCGAAATGTAACTAAGTTAACATGGAAAAATAGAGTTAAAAAGCATTAAAGTACATTTGAAAAACAAAGTAAAATACAAACATCTCGATGGATTTCATCTCCAACAGTCGACTGAAAGTGAATTCTTTCACAAAATACACAAAAAGCTCAAATGTATTTCTCACAAACACGTTTCTTTTTGTTGAGTTAAACGAGGGAACGCTTGCTGGGACGGAGCGGGAGAAGAGAAAAGTCCGAACAACCAAGAATCGTCAGCAGTCAAGTAAATCTGCATTTTCCTAGAGAGTGAAGGTGATTGGTTGTGACCCTGAGAAGTAGACTGCAGATTCATTTAAGAAACAAAAACAACAAACTCTTTTTACATTTTCTGTTTTCCTCCCACCATCGTCACACGAACACAACTCTACAACCATGCAACAGATCGCACACTAACAAGATCAAACATACCGAAGCAAGAAACAGACGCATATATACCGACTTCATACTGATATGTAATTTCTTTTTTTCTTTTCAAAAAAATATTTTGGAAGTTTTTTTTTTGTTTCGTTTTTTAAATACATTTTTTTTGTACATTTCTATTCATCTCAAAGCTACCGTTAAAACAAGGCGTTTAGTGATATTTAACTCAGTATTTTTAGATTTTTTTTATTTTCAAAAAATATTGTGAAAAGTACTGAATTACAAAGTCAGAGGCAGGTTCATCTGCACGAGCAGAGACGCTGAAAACGTGACGCTGAGACAAGATCACTGAATTTATGAACTTCAAAGGCTGAAAAATCCCCTTAAAACAGCAGGTTTGATAAAAGAACGGCCGACATCAAAGCATCAGAGGCCGTGATAATCTATGGGTGTGAAACTCCAGAAGCACTGGAGCCTACATTTCCCATAATGCAACGGGACAGAATGTTTTCATCAGACTCCCTGCCGGGTAAAGAGCGACGTCTTTCAAACTCTCAAACAGATTTTCTGTTATAATTAAAAGTCGTACATTGACTATGACATCGTCCCTTTAATTGACCTTTTCTCCCGTGGCATTCTGGGAAACGTAGGAACTCGCCGTCTTATAGAAAAAAAATTGAACAAAGCAACATAACAGACTATTTGAGGGGATTCTTCCTTTAAAGTTCTGACTCATTGTGTCACAGGTTTCCTGCCGCAGGCCGACGAGCACAACGTCACTACCGGCAACTCTTTTTATTTTTTGGGCAACTTCCACTGCACTGATTAAACGGCAACATTGTGCCGCTGCACCGTTCACGTGATTTCGAAAGATTCTGGAAAATGTCTCCTAAAAATGTGTCACCGTGACATCAGCGTAACATCACGTGACATCACCATGACATCACCTGAGCGTCCTGCCACGCTCAGTGAACCTGCCGCTGAGTAAAGTGACCTACAGCATTGATTCTACTCATTAAGTTGTCCGTGAAGAGGAAGAGAGAGGAGGAGGAGAGGAGGAGAAGGGATGGGGGGGGGCACACGATGACCGTTATCTTCTCCTCAACACCAAGATGAAGGAGGATGGATGATGAGGAGGAGGAGGAGGAGGAGAAGAAACGTCTCACCCACTGGCCACATGAGCTGATAAGAACAAAAACAAAAGCCACGTTCCCTATTTCACCGTCCAATCAGATTTGAGATCGGGGGTGTGACTGATGGCTGATGACACGTTGCTGGTGTTGAGTTCTTGATAATAATAAAAAGGAAGGAATCAGAGGTGGCAGGTGTTAGTTTCCCATCCTGCTTGAAGGACGGAGGCTGATGAAGATGAGGACGCCGGTCAGAAGTTGAGGTGTCTCTGGCTCGGCTGGTGGAGGTGTGAGGTGCTGGTCTTCGGGGGCCGCAGCAGGTTGAGGCGTCGCAGCGCGTTGCGGGTCAGAGGTTGGTTGCGCTGGCCGGCGTTGCCGTCCCGCTGCTGCAGGAGGCCGGCGCGGGCGGAGAGCGCTGCGGCGTAGCACGCCGAGTGGAGGCTGGAGCGCCGCGGGACCACCGCCACCTCCGGCCTGCGGGCAGGGGGGGGGGGGGGGGGGGGGGGGGGGGGGGCAGAGACAGAAGGAGAGCGGTGTTAGATGGAGCCGAGTGAATGTATTCAAGTACTTCTTGAATACAAGAAGTAGCTGCTATGAGGAACTTTTATTGTCTCTTGACTCTGTCGCCCCCTGTGGACTAAAGTGGTAGTGTCTCTGAGCACCAGACTCTTCAGAAAACCTCTCATTTTACTGCAGCAGGGTCTGACAGTCTGCCCTCTCAGTCCTGGTTCTGGTTCTCCCGTGCCTCCCTTCCCTCCAGCGGGTCCAGCAATACATCCTGGGTCTCCAGCAGAGAGGAGAAGCTCTGCTCCTGGAGGAGGAGGAGGAGGAGGAGGAGGAGACGCTGCTCCTGCTGTGGACCGGTCTCTGCTGGAGTCTGAGCTGAAGGAGTTTCTGGCTCCGATGACGAGCATCAAGAATAACTCTAAGGAAACAGACCATCTTCTCTCTGGTCTCTTTACTGATGGAGGTCTGATAGAGGATCAGGACTACACTGAGACTGGTTGATATAGAGGATCAGG